CGTTTGCATTGCCAGTCATTTCTGTACTACATTCTAAGTACTTTGTTATGGCCTCATTCATGGAATTAAGTTTAATAAGTTTACACAGAACCAAGTTTGAAAATTATTAAGATCTGTTTGTAAATCCGACTGGCAGGCTACGTGATTGTATTGCACGCAAAGCTTGACGTCATCCGCGTACATAAGCACTCTGGAGTTAGTCAAGACTTTGAGAGGGTCATTTATAAATAATGTAAACAATAAGGGTCCCAAAGAGCTTCCTTGCGGGACGCCAGAGTAACCCTTAGAACATTGGATAAATTATTCTTAAAGAAGACTTGAGATCCAATTAAGCAGACCACATGGATAACCCATTAAATCGAGTTTTCTTAGGAGGAGAGAATGGTTAACAGAGTCAAATGCTTTACTTTTTTTTTTTTTTTTTTTGAATTTATTATTGTACATTACTGTAGTGTAGCAACTTATACAATAGTGAGCGGAGGAGTTCATTGGAATATTACAAAAGTGTAAGAATTAGTGAAGATGAAGATGGGTGTAACAAGTGGCAGGGAGTTTAGTTAGTGTTTAATAAATTTTCCTTCTTGGAAGGTCCGAGGGATGAATCCTTTTAAGTCTGCGCCTTGCCCGCCGAGACGCAAGTCTCCTGGCTTGAATGTTTGGGTGAGACATGAGCTTATTTGTGTAATGTTCAGCTTGTTCATTGATAATATCCCCTAACAAGGGAACTTTAAGGTCCCTCGCTAAGTCAATGTTACGAATAAACCACTCAGCACCAGTAATTCTCCGCAGGAACTTGCTTTGGAAGACCCGGATGCAACTCAGATTAGTTTTGGCCGCTATGCCATAAACTTGAATCCCATATCTCCAAGTAGGGGCAGGTATGGACTTGTATATCTGGACGCCAGACTCAGGTGATTATTTGCCTTTAGGAGCCAGTACAGCCTTCTGGCCTTATCCTTCAATGAACGCCTAACTAACCTTGTATGCTTGGCGAAGGTTAATCTAGTGTCCAGGGTGACCCCCAGGTATTTATAATCTCTGACCTGCTCAAGAAGCTCTACATACAGGAACAGTCCAGGGCACGACTCCTTTCTGAGGGAGTGCGTCACTACAGCACACTTTGCCGGATTAATTGATATATTCCAGCGACAGGCCCAATTCTCAAACCTTTTGAGGTACATCTGAAGCATATCAGTGGCGTCATAGATACAGTTGGATCTGGAGAGGACAGCAGTATCGTCAGCAAATGTGGCCAGCATAGATTACATCTGTCTGAGAATTATTAAGAAAGAGAGCTCCAAAAGATTTGTTGTTTTTGATCTTCGCTTAATAAGACCATGTTGACATGGAGAAATAACCGATCTACAAAGGTGCTGTAAGTGAGGGTTGATAATGTTTTCAAATAAATTAGGAATGGCCGACAACTTAGAGATTCCTCTATAATTGCTGGCATCCAATTTGCTACCTTTTTGTGAAGAGGAATAATAAACTATTCCTTCCAAATAATGGGAAAGTGGGAGGTTTTTCAGGACAAGGTAAACAATTTCAGAAGGGGATAGCACATGGCGTCGGCACAATACCTGAGTACACAGCCAGGAATTCCGTCGGGACCTGGCGAATAAACTGGCTTGACACGATGAAGATCTAAAAGAAGAGAACTTTCGTTTAGGCTAGGACAGAAAATTAAGTTTGATTTGGGTATGTCGTAGGAATAACACTTATAACACAGCTTTATAACACTGCGCGTTCAGCACGGTAAAGTTTGACCGAGCTGATAAATAAGATGAAAGGGCAGATTGAGAACCGGTGAAATAAACTGTATGTCACACCCAAAATCAAGAGTCACATCGAAAGTTGGATGACAAGAATCTTCGGGCTGCGTCAGAGGCGGCACCCTTGCTAAACTGACTCTCGCAGGATCAAGGAAGATGCAAAGAACAAGCAAGCGCTGCAAGGAATTTCGCACATGGAGAGTGTTGGTGGAATTATTTGAGCACCAAACAGCACCAGGGATATTAAAATCACCTAGGACTACCAACTGGTTTCTATCCAAAAGTCTACTGGATGGTTTCCATGAATAGCGGAAAGGTGGTTTCAATAAATAGGAAGTTCCGACAACGGAGGTTTGTAGGAACAGGTAATAAAAATGGAGCTACCTTTGATAGATAGCTTCACACAAAGGAATGCAAAATCCTGATAGGGCAATCTAGCCGTTATACTGTGAACACAGCTGGAAAAACTTCGGGTTTCTATGAGGACAATAACCTGAGAAGGAAACAAAAAGCGTCTTGTATTCTGATAGATAGTGGTTAGATATTTAGTTTCTTTCTTGAGGCGGAGTTAGACGTAGAAGGCGCAGCGGTCTGCTTCGGCCTAGGAAGAGTTATTCCTACAAGCCGCTTTTTCTTCTTCTTAGCTTCGAACTTCTTGACAACAATATACTCTGGCCAGAATTTTGTAGCGCAAATTGAATCAAAGAATATTTTGCCGTGTATAAAGGCGATAATATCTTCCGATGTTTGAGCAGGGGAGAGCCGCGAAAAAAAGATATCTAAAAAAATTCAAGCGGAACACAGTAATTTGGATTTGGAAGCTGCTGATTATGTCGGATCAATCGAACTTGGATTTATACAATCATACAGAAACGTTAGTCGAACAGAGTTTCGCAAAACCTCACTGTATGACAGACATCAATAATGTAAATATGTATCCCTTATCTTGTGCTTTGTTAAAGCTGCTGGAGACGAATTATTTGGCTCGAAGGAGGGCGGCTCTAATGGTTGTGCACTCGTTAATGAGAACACGACAACTATTTCGGGGTATTACGCGACGTGCGTCGGATCTTTATTGATAGAAAAGGGAGAGAGCCTACGGGACATTTAGAGGGTGGTAGCGGGATTACACTACCTTTCGAAAATAAGAGCCCTTTTGGCGTGAACATTTCCATTTCTGGAAAGTTAATATTTTTGACGTAAGTGAGGAGTGGACCGCTAAGAGGACACAACGCCCACTTCTGATAGGCTAACCTAGCCGATATACTGTGAACACAGCTGGAAAATCTTCGGAATCTCCAGCTTTAACAAGGATTATGTGAAAAGAATAACCTGAGAATCAAACGAAAGACTTGTTGTTAGGAAACTTACTACGTAAGCCTCTTGTATTCTGATAGGAAATACTTATGCAGTTTGTTAGTTTTAGTTTAGTTTCCGCCAGAATTTGGCCAAAACATTTCGATATTTAAGAATGGTCTACATGTCCATTTGTGCTTTTATCTTTTCATCCATCCTTCCATCTTTTTCATTTACGGTCGTACATCCGCAACGCTGTCATCTACCGAGAGCTGTGGATACCGATTATATGGTCTGAACGAAGAAGCGAAGACACACCGAGCAAGGCTGCAAAAATACACTAACCCCATGGCAAGACACATCACCACGGCCCATGGAAGCCGAAGAATGAAAAAAATTACATTAGGCTGTTGTTGGCCCGAAAAATACTACGAGAACAAGTAAATTTAACAAACACGCTATAACCAAATTTTTAAATATAATAATTATTATATAAAAAATATATAGTAAAAACCACTAAGAAGTGGCAAGCGTTAATTTTCCTCAGAATTAGCTTTGCGTTGCTTAATTCTTGAAATCTCTTCAACTCCTGTTTGCATTTTGCAAAAAATTATTTGACAGCTGAAAACTTCAGGTTATTTTGTTTTTTTATTTTCCAATATGATTCATGTTAAAATATGTTTTTTTTTTACTCATATTAAAAGCTCTCTCTCTCTTTATCAACACATTTTCAGTTTAATAAATAATTTTTGTCATTTTTCATTTTGCAAAGAATTATTTGACAAACTGTAAATATAAGTTCTCTCTCTTTCTTTCTCTCTCTCTCTCTATCTTTCTTTCTTTCTCTCTCTCTCTCTCTCTCTCTCTCTCTCTCTCTCTCTTTCTCTCTCTTTCTCTCTCTATCTCCCTTTCTCTCTCCCTCTCTCTCCCTCTCTCTCTTTCTCTCTCTCAAAATAGAGATACAACTCTTGAATCTTGAATCTCTCTCTCCCCCTATCTCTCTCTCAAAATTGGGCTACAACTCTTAAATCTTGAATCTTTTTTTCTTTTGTAAATTTGTAAATTTTGTACATTAAATATAGATTTATTATTCTATGAATCATTTATGAATAAACGATAAATTCTCGCTCTTCACAGCTTGAGCCTTTCCCAAGTAAATTTCATCAATAATCTCTTATTTTGGCAATGCTTTCCTATGTTAATAAATTACCCATGCATGCTATTGCTAGACAGATTTCTGTACCTCCAGAGTAGATAATTCAGTACTGAAAACATTTGGTAAAAATGAGCACTGCCTACCTTCAGAGTTTTGTCCACGGTTTATGCTTTGTACTTTTCATATACATTAATACTTACATACTTACATCCATACATATGTACATACATACATAGCTATATCTATTTAAGTATGCCCTACAAAATATATTCTTTTAAAGGTGAATGGAATGGGGAAATGCGTCAATGTATGTATGTATGTATGTATATGTAAATACTTATTTATGTACATATATATTTACCAGATTATGTCTTACGTAAAACTTGTGTATATGTATATGCATTCATATTTATGTAAATATGTACGTTCAGATGTTCATTTGAATATATGTATGTACATACATCTGAAGGCATACAAAAAAGAGTAAGGCACTCTCTAGTTTTGACTTCAATTTAGCAGTCTAATGAATGTCAGGTATATTTTTTGTTGTTTTGCTTGTGTTTCTTTTTTTGCCTTGCTAAGCTTTTGTAAGTTTACCAGCTCTAAACTCTGTGGACTTGCTCTGAGATCGTGATCAAGTTGGCTGCTGCAATTTCTTGCGCTCTTTGGGCCATGGCATGATTCATTTAGCTATTCCTTTCATTGAGTCGTTCATAAGCTCGTTTTGCGGTAACTTTTCTGTTTTAAAGATTTTATATAGCCAAACATACGCAGGTACGGCTTCAGTTTGGTTTCTAAACGCGGTGCGCGTACTTCAAACCGCTGTTACCTATTTAGTTAAAGTAACTTTCGCTTTTTATATACATATGTACATACATATGAAAGCATGTACATCCATTTAAACACGTTTATACATATATAAGAAATAATTTTGATGTATTAGGATCTATTGTCCTTCTATTGAACCAAATTAAACATACACACATAACATAAATACATACTTTCACGTTTTTAATTGAGTTAAAACGATTTAGTAGTTCGAATAATTGAATAACACTGAAATCAAGAGGTGTGCCATGGAGAGAAAAGGATTTTATAAAAATATTATATTATCCCTGGCTATATTAATATTCTCGGATTGTTGTGAAATTAATGGAGTACGAATTAAAGGTGAGAAATACTTACATTTTACATATAAATATAAATACATACATATGTATACGTATGTACAATCTAAAATCAAAACAATGACTATAATTATTATTTTACACGAATAAAATGTTTAAGTTATTGCAAGTTTGTTAGAGATATCTTTTATGCATACATACATACATGAGTGCATATGTATTACCATTCTAATAACATATGTATGTATATGTACATATGTATGTATATAACTATGTACTTATGTATATATAGACTTAAATACGAATTTAAAACAATAAAAAAAACCGGTGCATACATACATATGTACATCCACACATCTACATACATACATAGTATATATATGTATATATATACATATATGTATGTACTTAGGTATGTACTTAGGTACGTAGTTACGAAACACTAGGAAATACATATGTACATATGTATGTATGCCCAAATTGGATTAACGAACCCTAAACATCCTTACTATCCCATTTACAAACATATGTACATATATGTACATATGCTCATATGTACGTACATACATACGCACATATTCTTTGACTTCGATTTTATAAATACATATGTATGTATGTATGTATGTTTTTATATACACATGTACAAATGTATGTATGTATGTTTGAATTCTTACACACTTATAAAGTAAAAAACCGGTAATACACTAAGCATTCATACATAATTACATACATACATATGTACGTATTCACATGTATGCATGTATGAATGTACATATGTCAGCTTGAAAGCTCACATCCGTTCATTAACAAGTGTGCAATTTTTATGCACTGCACTAATACGACAATAGGTGGGCATTTTCATTATATACCTACATATGTATGTATGTACATATGTATATGTATGTACATATCTTAGTAGCAAAACTATTAACAATGAAAACTTAATTCAATTTCTAATTAAAATTTTTATTAATCAATACATATATTCATATGTACATATGTACATACATTGTATAAAAAAATATATGTGCATAAATAAATACTTAACATGGGTATACATATGTATGTACAAGCATATGTATGTATGCGTGCATGTATGTACATATATGTACATACATATATGCTCATTAGTTTTTTTTTGTGTATTTTTTTATTAATCTGCATAAATAATAAGATACGTCAATTAAAAGATTCATGCAGAAATCCGTATGCACATTTCTTAGGTTGATCGAGTCTAAAACCGGTCCGCAACTGGTATAAAATGGTCCAGTTTAAAAGAATCACTGATTCAAGGCGATTCAGTCGCAGAATTTTTACAGGAGCTCACATTTTGAATAAAAAATGGTTATTTAAAAGCTTTTTAATTTCTTTATACCTGAGCAAACTAATCGGAACATAATTTAATTTATAGAATATAGTCATTCAGGTAAGACTATGTACAAATGTCAAAATAAAATTAGTATTATAGAAAGTGTTTATAATCAATTTTCATTAAATTATAAGCAAAAGCAAAAATATATTCCGATTCCGCTTATGAAAACAATAAGAATTCGGGATCCGATTTCGGTAAAATTTCAAAATTAAAGTTTAAATTAAATTATTTTACTTTGATCGAAGTTTTATAAATGTATCTCAAAAATGTTTGTATCGTTCTTATAAATGCTTTAAGATATTTTTCTGATCCACATATATTTTATTCAGTGTCATCCTATAATTACAAATCTACCATTGGTATTTCAAATGTTTTTCTTTTTTTAATTATCCGAGTTTTTAATATATGTACATACCCTTCAGTACCAATCCTTTAGGATTCAGGTCTGAATCATGTTGGAATGGACAGGACTCCATCCTGAATCATTAGGGAGCTTTCATACAATCCATCCAGGAATTTCCATAGAATTTCCCGAGGAATTTTTAGGGAATCATAAAGGAATCCTGCTAGGAATTTGTCGTAAATTTCGACACGAATTCCCCCCTGAATCAGAAGGGAATTTCGGAAGGGATTCTGAACAGAATCATCCAGGAATTTGGGAAGGAATCAGGCAGTAATCGTAGGGGAATTCAGAGTAGAGTCAGGTAGGACTCTCAAAGGAGTACCAGGCGGAATCACCAACGAATCGTAGGGGAATTTAGAGTAGAATCAAATAGGAATCCCAGAGGAAAACGTGTAAAAGATACCCGGAACCCCAAGCCCTATAGTAAATACCTAACGCAATACATACATTTTTTTATTTATTTATTCATTTAAAAAACTTTATAATTTGTTCAATGATTGCCACAATTTCTCTTAGCATAACTTCTTGTATTTCCCCTAAAAGTATGTTACGTGTCTTTCCTTCCGGCTGTTGCCTCGTCAATCTATAATTAAAATACATATGTATAGGTTAAAAGAGTCCAGGTTCAAAGCAATTCTGCAAATTAATTTATGAACTGAATACAAATAAGTCACTTACCTTTTAACAATATTTAATAAATTACAATGCAAAACTCTTGTGATTACTTCAGCTGTCATTAGAACTACGAAATAATCGATTTCAACAACGAGACTCGATTATTTTCTTTTTTCGGTAAATATTTTTCTTTATCTCACTTTAATTTCGGAACCGCTGTTCCGAATACCTTCGAAAACAACAACGAATATAAAGTCAGAACATCGGCAGAAACCGAACGTAGAATTTTCATTGCTTACTTTGTTTAGGAGTTCTCTTACCGAAACTCATAAGATTTATTTTTGATTTTCGATCATGACACCAGGAAATTTGGTACAGAAGTGTATTTACATATGTAAGTTCGGGACGCCGACCTTTTGTAAAATGACCAATCGTTCTTATGATAAGTATAGTATTTCACTTTTAATAACATTTTAATAAATACTTTCAAATCGTATAAAATACCTGGTCTGCAGTTACAGTATTTGACAGTTTTGAAACAGCAGTAAATGCATATGATAAATAGTGCAATTATATGGAAACCAGTGGAACTATGTATGTGTTTTAAAAATAATTGAATTATACATACAGATAACCGAGGAATTATATAAAAAACAGTCGAAGTAAGTGTTTTATGTGAGGAAAAACTAAAAGCAAAAATTAACCATTACCAACTAAATGATACAATTATCTGCAACATATAATAAAAAACTAAAACACAAAAAAAATTGCTTCGGCCTAAAATGTTGATGAATAGTTAATGAAATGTTGACAAAATGTTTATGAATCATTGATTAATTTTTGATGAGTTCTTGATGAATCTTCGATTAATTTTTTATCAATTATTCTACAAGTACAGGCACAGGGTACATACTCTGCAGTACAATTAATCAGTAATATATCGACGATTTATCAAAACACAACTCGATGTAGTTGATGAATCATCTATGAATGTCCATTCACATTACAGATGAATTTAACATGGGGATGTCTTAGACTGTCATTAACAACAATTCAACAATTCATCAAAAAATCATCAGCAATTTATCAACAGTTCATCAACAACTTATATGTATTTCTGGAGTTTTATGGGTATATGTATGTATGTACATATATGTATGCGATTGGTTCTTAATTTTTTTAATGTTTCGTTCAACGTTTGAAGTTTTCTAAATTTTAACATGATTTTGTGGCTCGGAATAAAGAAATATTAAGAAAGCAATTATTAACATTAAAATTTTCCATAAAATTTTCCAAATGAACAACGTCAGACTAAATGAATTGAGAGAGATTAAAGAAAAGTTGTTTTTGTTTTTGTAGAATTATTTAGCTCCCACAATTCTCTGTATTACCTAAAAAAATCCAAATGGTCGGTTTCAGATGCTGGAAAATTAATAGAGCAAACTCTAGGGGACACCACTCAGTAAAACTTTGCTTCATGTGGTGAGCGACTTAGGATAGATTTTGTGTGGCTGTCCCTATTGTCTTTATTTAGAATATTGTATATGGTCTACCTAAACACGGAAAACATTTTTGGTAGTTCTGGTAGTGGTAGTTTTTACCGATCTGGAAAACATTTCTGGTATTCCTGGTAGTGGTAGTTTTTACCGATCTGTTGGTTTTAATAAACCCGCTTCCCTTTCCGGACATTTTTATACACTTGCAAGGTATTATAATTCCGTTTCCACGCAAACTATTCTCAGTTTTGAAGCTATCTGAAGGAAACTTTGCAGTTAGTCTTCCATATACTCTCACTTGTATATATCTCGAAACGGGCCGGATCGGATGAGTATATCATACCATAGAAACGATCGGAAAATTTGTAAAAAAAAATAATATAACTTTTCCAGTTTTAAACAGATTCTTATCAAATTTGAGATATAGCCCTTTTATATTATTTTAGAATTCTGTTGAAAACATTATGAAAATCGGATTACATTATCATATTGCTGTCATACAAACGATCGTGAAATTAATTCAATTAAAAATTATAACTTTTTTAGTTTTTAACAGTTTTATATATAATTTAAGATATAGCCATTTTGTATTATTCCAGAGTTTCGTTTTTAGTTATATGAAAATCAGACTACTATATCTATATAGCTGACATACAAACGATCGTTAGATATAGAGGTATAATATGTGTAGGGGAATGAAATATTTTTTTAAATTGTCAAAACACTTTGTGGCCTTATTTATGATCCCTACCTAGTCGGACTTTCTAGCCTGATTACGCGTGATTTTCGTGCGGAATCGCTCTGTACGTATCATCCGCTTTTATTTATGCGTGGCCAGGTTAAAAATTGAAATTTGAAGCTTCGGACTTTTTACAAGCCGGTTTTTTCCCATTTGTTACATTTAAATTATTAATTGTAGTAAATCTATTTCAACCAAACTCACAAAATTTGTTAGAATATCATAGAACCAACTGGGGATTGAACCTGCGTCTTAATGTTTAACAGTCCGGCCGCTTACACATCGCGTCACATACACATATATTCATATCTCGTCTTAGAGGGACAAAAACTGTAAACTCCTTTAGTACATTTATTTATCAGGACCATACCCTGACGGTTTTAGCGAAATTATAACAGGTGCGCTGGGTCGTCTAAAT